TCGACAGGAACCAGTAGAGGTGGTATGGACCACCATAGGAGGCTTCCTCTGGAGGTCTTCCGAACACGTCCACCTGGGAGGAGACCCCAGGGGAGACCCAGAACCCGATGTCTCTCGGCTGGCCTGGGAACGCCTCGGGATCCCCCAGGAAGAGCTGGAAAGCGTCGCTGGGGGGAGGGAGGTCTGGGACGACCTCCTACCGCGACCTGACCCCGGATAAGCGGAAGATAATGGATGGATGGATGGATGGATGGATGGATGGATGGATGGATGGATGGATGTTGGATCCAATAATCAACCAGACCAATAATAGGTTAAATCATAGTTTCTAAGCTAACTAATTTTCAAGAATCCTGCAGAAGGGCTTTCATTTAGGATTTCAGGGCTGCATGATGTCGTGCTAAAAGACTGAGGCTAAACTGAGGCCACAGTTAGCTAGTTTTCTGGTCATGCTCAAGAAACCTCCCCCGAACTTTGTTGCATCTCTCACTGCAGCTCCAACAAAAATGTCACTTTCCATGTAGATAAATTCCAACCTCGACAAACGCGACAAATCCAGTTTCTCTGCTGTGTTACATAACAACCGCTTTTGGGCGAGTGGACGTCTGCCTTTAACCCACATCGAAGCTCATTTTTGAGGCCTCTTAATAATCCAGCTCCCTCATGGCACCACATCAAACTGTCAACTGTCTCGCAAAGGCTGCTGAATATTACACCCCTCCCCCCCCTTCCACAAAAAACGCCACCAATTAGCCTCTAATGAGCAACAAAACAAGTTTCCAAAGTTTTTGCACGGCATTATTACTTATTAATTTCATTTCAAAGCGTGACAATCCCCAAGACTCATCGCAACGAGAGGAAGCTCATTAATGGACCAGAATAGCGAAAAGCTCGTGTGAAATAACTTGCAGGAAATGTATTCTGTAAATCCTAAAATATTAAAGTTTGCATAATCTCTTAACACGACTGCTGTCAGATTTGACTCCCGACACGTATGCCGGGGCGATAACAGCCTGATTGCATGTAGGAGATCACACGTGCAAGGAATGTGGGCTGGTGTCGCTTCGCTTATTAAAAAGTGATGAGGGCGGTTTAGTATTGATTATGGTGATGTTAAGGCATGTTTTGCGTGTACGAGGATCGGGTCATAGATAGATAGATAGATAGATAGATAGATAGATAGATAGATAGATAGATAGATAGATAGATAGATAGATAGATCCCATGTTAACTGGCACATTTAATCAGTGTTAGCGATCAGCCACACACAATAGATTGTGTGCCAGGCAATAATACGCATATTAATGTGATGCATTTTTCTTTTCAAAGTCATCAATCTGCAGCTCTATCATTTCTCCTCCTCGATTCCCCAAAACTGAAACCAAAAACCCAGCAATCATTAGCAAATATTCAATGAACAGCGATGGATGGACTCGAGGTAACAGCGTGAACTCTCTTACCATAAAAATGTCTTTTGTTCCAGCGGTTCCGGTGCAAAAACTATCCGCTGAGCTCGGACCGCGCAGCTAATTCTGCACTCTGAGCTAGCAGGCAAGGTTTCTTGGGATAATGAACATTTTCCATTTCACTCCACTTCCCCTCACTTCATTAAGTTTGCAAATCAAGTGGTTTTAGGCACAAAAACAATTTTTTTGTGTGTGTGTGTTGCGTTTTCTCATAAAAACGACTGCACGGCATACAAATGTTCTGCCTTTTTTGTGGAAGGTGATGTCTTTTTAATCATATTTGATAATTGTTATGACAATTCGGTGATTTTTTTTTTAGTTCAGTTCTACTCTTTAAGCTCATGCAACCTCTGAATAAACACTAGCTTTCCGTGCTCCCTAATGGTCCGGCTTGCACTAATGCTGGATCCAGTAATGTACAGGATATAATGCATAGGTCGTTGGTTATTCATGTCCTCGTAACTCTGACATTATCTGGGTTTCTTAATGTCCCTGCAGTGTGTCTGTGACTCCTTCACAGGCGAGAGAATCTGTTGCTTCTGAAGGTTTTATTCTTTCATTCTGAGTTGGTAGATTTAATTTTTTTTGCATGTTTCATGATGCAACACTGCAAATTTTAAATGTAATTGTTTGTTTTCTTACATTACTACTTACTGTGTAGCACCAATTTAGACTATTTAAATTAAGCCCAGCTGTAAAGGCCTTGGTCCTGTGATTTCTTTTGGGCGGAGCTAATCATCATCTGACTAACTGGGTACACCTGGCCAGGGCCGGGGTTATATAAGCCGGCCTGTTGAGTTGCCAAACCTTATGCTGACAACATGTGCCACCCACGACCATCACACGCTCTCACACACCACTGATGCTGATTTCTGCACCTCATTATAACTTTTGCTTTTCTTTGATAAGTTTCCCTCCTTTGCTGTAACTAAAACTCAGTCGTGGTCTTGGCCTCTATTCAAATTCGAGACGTGTTTTCCTTCTTTCCATATGAAGAGTATTTTCATATCAGCCACTCAGTGCTACAGGAACTAATCTTTGTCTCTGGTCGAAGGTTAAACAGCTTTTTTTTTTACTTCCTTTGTAGAGGCTAAAGTCACCACGTTGGTGGCCTGATTGATGCCCTGATTAGCGTGTCTGATGAATCAGTTGAACTCTCACTCCATTTATCTTTTGTCTCCCTCTGTATCGTCAATTAAGCTTAAACAGATTGTTCACAATACATGCAAGTAAAGAATCGTGCAGAAACACAGCAGCAATAAACTGCTTCTGTGCTCAAAAAAGTGTTTACCCTCCAAACGGAACACATGACCAGACGACAACCGGTTCTTAAATTACAGAACTGAACCCTAACTGGCACCTGTACATGATATTAATTGTTAAAGTCATGAAAGTTGTTAAATTTTAGCCTCAGTTGGAGTGTATTTCTCAGAATGGTGATGTCAGTGTGTTTTCCTGCTGGTCCTTCCAACATGTTGGTTGAAGTATGGTGATGATTCATTGATTAATTAATGAAAATATATTAATCGCTAAAAATGAGGGACAAGCATTTCAGATAATGTTGCAAATTTGCTAGTACCTGGTTATGATTTTGTTGGGCCAGTCACTGTATAAATTTAGAAATATTTTTTGCTATTTAATTTACAGTTCAAGCAACCTGGTATTTATCTGTTCTTTGAATTTCTAATAAAACTGGGATGATTTTGCTGTGAAATCTGTGTATCAGTGGTTAAAAATGTTTTTATCCTCATAAATCATCCACCGGACTTATTTTGTTCTGCGATTATTTGATTTTTACGAAACTGTTAAAGAATTTGAATCCTCCTCCAGATTGTAATATCTCCATGAAACTTAATATAAGTATTATTATTTTTTACAATTACAGAACATTTATGGTCCCCATACGAGGAACCCCCCGCTGTATTTGCTGAACCTCCACGTGCGATTTCACCCATTTCTCAGGTTGATTACTCATTTCCGTCTTCCGATGTCCTTGTCAAGCTGTTCCACCACCACCTGTGAGCAGATTCTCAATTTCCTTTTGTGCATTACGCTGCGGGAGAATCATATACATCAACAGCACATTCATAAACTGGCCTTGCATACCATGTTTGAATGACTTGATTTTATCATTACGAACTTCCCATCACATACATTCTTTATGTGGACTCAGGCTGTAGCAGCGTTCATTCAGCGAGCTGCGTTCGATGACATCCATTCGACACAAACACTAAACTGTATTGTGACACTCTGATTCTCATCCAGATTTTAATCTTTGTACTTATAATTACGTTCGCATTACCAAATTGCACATGAATGATTTGCGCTCTCTTCAGCCAAACCTTAAGGCATGTCGCTAATGATTTAAAAAAAAAAAAGAGCTCTCAAAATCCTTTCAGGCATCTTTTCAATCAACTCACTGTCTGCCAAATGAGAGTCCCACTCAAAGACCCTCCAGTGAGCATTGTGGCACCGTGTGAGGAGTTTGGCACTGGGTTTGAAAAGAAGAGCTGAATCTATAACCTGTGCGGGAGAGCGGAGGACAGAGACGGTTGACGGAGTGAAATCCTTCACGTTGCTGTAATGGGTATAATTACACAAAGAAAAGGGCTGTTAGGTTAAATTACCCGTGATATTCACCATGGATAATGGCAGAAATTCAGAAGGTTAAATGACACCAGGAGCTGAATGATTTTTGACATTAAGGTACTATTGAAAAGGGAATTATAACAGAGCCTGTATGGGGAAAATCCAATGCCTTACATGTTGGACTGTGGAGACCGGTTTGAAAAGCCTTTAAAAGGGCCCTTTTTTCTGAACACCTGTGTCTTTAGAAGCCATTGTGAGACAATGATTAAGTCTAAAAAGCGCTGGCCGGATTGATTGTTTCCAACAGCGGAGGCTATTTGAAGCTCACTTTGAGTTGCAGTGATGTCTGGAAATTGTCCTGCTGAGTGTCGGACCTGCTCATACAAGTAACCGTGGCGAGGGAGGGAAAGGCAGAATAGACTCCGGCAATTAGTTGTTTTCCTCATGTCTCCTACCTCGAGTGTTTCGAGCTACTTTTCAGAAAGACTTGTATATGAATTTCTTTATTTCCTCAGTAAGAACTATATTCTCTCTGGTCCCAGCGCTGACCTCACAGACAGCAAACAGCCCAATTAGCGGTTGAAAAGGTGAAGGGGGGCCGGACCTGATCACCGCACAATTACGTCAAGTCACCCGCAAGCACCGGCAACCGCCCCCGCAACTAACCGCCAGCTTGTGGTGATTGTCCAACGACCATGAAGACGGAGGAGAGGCAGACACTGTGTTATGTGCTGTTTTTTTTTCTACCTCTACAGCACTCCAGCCGCCGTTATGTATCTCGAGTGTCACTTCCCTTATACGTTTCAAATCAAGCAAACTTTTTGTCCTTCGTCAACCTCACTTTGTACCAAGTTTTGCTGCCAGTCATCCGTCCTTCTGATGCTGGCTGACACGAGGCTCTCTGGTGACTCAGCAGAAAGCAGAAAACCATATCATAGAGCATAATGCATGTTAAAGGCTTAATATTTAATGCATACTCGCTCTATATAAACTTTCATGTCTGTGAGATTTACGGCAATCATGACATAAAAATCTTCATTTAGAAAAATATGTTGACATATGCATGGGGATTATACAATAACTTACTCACACATCTCATATAACAGAAATACAAGCCGAAATGCCAAATACACAACAGCAACAGGATAAAAACTGAATAACATAATGCCAGAAATTAAAAATTCACAGGTCAGTAATACTGCTGTTAATGCCGTCACACCTCAAAACAAACAATATGACATTTCCAATTACAAATCAGATACTTTCCCTCCGCTTCGAGAGCACATTTAGCCTCTTTACCCTCATTGTTTTGGTATTCCAGCCGACAAACACGATCCTCAACAGTCATTTTTCCAGCTGCAGCAGGGAGCTGTTTTCAGCAACAACAAAAAAAAAGCCCCTCTAATAAAGCCGCTGTGCACTCCCTGCCCAGTGCAACACAACAAACAGGCGAAGCTCTTAGCTCAATATAGTGGTGCAGTCGCAAGGCTAACAAGCTAAGGAGCCGCATCACTTTTTTAGCAGGAGGTGGAGAACAAAACGGAGCTCGTAATACTGGAATGAACACACATTAAAAAAAAAATGTTGCTCTGCTGGATGTGTGTGAAAGATGACGTTTCCTGCAACAATATATTATAGTTTTCAGCTTGTTCTGCCCAAAAGAAAAGAAATATTTAGCGCTAAGCTCAGCAATCTTTGGCTTTTAGTAGGAGACAGGATGCAAACTGTCGTCTCTGCAGATTAGGGAAAGTTTTGTACAACCCATTAACGACAAAAGACATGAAAATTGACAACATTTGATTGGTGCAAAACAGTAGGTCAGCCATTTCCCTTTTGATTTTAAAGCACCGACACATTTAATATATGCGGCATTTATTCTAATGTGACATTTAGTTAGTTATTAATGCTTTCAAGCTGATGTAAAGTAATAAAAGTGGTTTAAGTTATAGGACGGTTGTTCATAGAATAAAAAATACAGCAAACAAAAGCTGATGTAAAGCATGCCAGCAGTAGCTCTTGATTTTATGTTTAAAAAGAATAGTCCAACATTACAGGAAATTCCCTTTCTCAGAGACGAGAGCGTGTTAGCTTAGCATAAAACCAAAAAAAATGAAGAAATAGGTAGCCAACGGTAAAAAAAAAATCAGACAAGCTGTTCCCACAACGCCAAACATTTTGTTTAACGCAAAATTGTGATTTTTATATCATTGTTGAGGAAGGTTTATTGGGCATGCACTGCCCTTGTCTAGGACGCAAAAATGAATCTCAGAAAACGGTGTCCTCCTCTCCTCCGCCGTACCAAGGGGTGAGTCTTACTAAACAAGGTCTGGGATTGCAGACGGGTTGCTCGGGTCCAACCTCCGAAGCAGAAGAATCCAAAGAGCTCAAGGACCCCGTGGGAGACCCCGACCCTTCATACGCGTATGTTCTTAGGCAGTCAAAGGGGGGAACGTAAGGATCCTGGTCAGCTTCCGCCAGCCGGTCCAGAATAAACTGCTTGAAGACCTCGTCCTCCGGCCCGATGAGGTGTGACTCCCGGAGAGACATGCGAATGCTGGCCCTGACGTCCTCCCTGCGCAGCCTCCTCTCCCTCCTCCTGGGGTGGGGGCGCAGAGGGACGACGGGGTGGCACAAGTCCAGGTCCCTTCTTCCTCCTCCTCCTCCTCCTCCTCTTCCTCCACCTCCTGCTTCTCCGTAATAAAGCACCTTTTGCGACACCGTCTCCGGCAGCTCCAGCTCCCTCACCTCCACCTCCAGCCCCTCCTGCTGTTTCCGCCTGTGTCTCCTCACCATCAGCATTAGAACTGACAGCACTGCAGACACAACACAGTGGGAGATCATTACAGTTAAACACCAGGGCATGAGCTTAGTGAGGGAAAAAAAAAAAACATCTACGGCGCCTGATGGAGCATGCACGTAGAATGTGCAAGTGCGTTGAAAATAACAGCAGCCAGATTTGTTTTCCTGTAACTAGTGGGATGCCAAAAAAAAAAAAGTAAAAAACTGAATGGGGACAAATTAGGCAATAAATTATCTTTTTTTTAATTTCAGCTCACACATAAAGAAAGCGTTCCATAATTTGCTCCATGTGGCACGGAATACTAAAAGACTGTTTGGTTTGTGTTTTTTTTCTCCGCTGTGTTTTCTACCGGCTATTGTTCTCATCCGACAGAATGTTAGCATAGCAGGTTTTGTCATTAATCTTTCATGTGATGGGCACAGGGAGGACACAAAGCAGCCGAGGTCATAATAAAGCTCTTCACTATGCAAACCCATCAATGTCCCAGGATGGCATTGCTACTGATGTATTGCAACCAATGCGCTCATTACCTGACATCATTGCTCTGCAAGCTTTCAGCATTTTAAAAGTGTGTGTTAAAGGCACGCAGGTGAGTTCTAAAAAAGCGGATTCAAATGAAAGCGCAGATTGGTTAATGAAAAATCCTGCTGTTTAACACTCGGGGTCATATACTTGCCAAAGTGATGTGGGGTGGAACTGCTTTAGCTCAACAGATCCGCTGCAAAAAGAACGACTCTTTTTTACAACAAAATTTCAATTGCATTTGAGATTTGTCTTAAAGGTCGTATTTTAGAAGTTTGATCCACTGGGTACCTTATCGGTGAAGTAATACTAGATGTCTGGCATGATTTATGGTTTTCTTTCCTCTTAACATCTCACGCTACACCTGTAGTGAAATCTTCTGTAGATCCATATCACTAGGGCTTTAATTTTGGCCTAAATGAACTGGGAAAGAGCCATAACTACAATTTCAATGGTCACCAAGATGTAAAAACTACATATATGGAGTCACAAAGTCATAAAGTTTGGTGATTTTACCTCAAAGCGAGCTTTAAAACCCGTTTTCCCTGCAGGTTATACCTCTGCTAAACAGCTTGCTTGCATCTGTGCATCAACACGACTGGCTTTTATGTCACACAACCACCATCTTCGTTACAGAATCCGCCCATAGATTTCTATTCAGGATTCTTTAGATAGCCAATCTCTCCCTTTGTGACATCTCTGGTGCACAAACAACAACCATCTCTCCAGTTCACTTCACTTGTTGTGTGTAAACAGAACAAACTACATTTGCAACGAGGCTCTTAGAGGGATTAATGTTGTTTAGCCAGCCGTCTGTCTTGTCAATCACGATGATGTCTGAAGAAAACTCTTGCCAGTAAATTTGGCAGAACAACATCTTTGGTCATCCTGCAGTAGCCTTTATATTGGCATGGTTTGAAAAAGCTTAAGGGGTACAACTCCAGACCAGCACCTCGGGATGTTTTTCTCTGAACCCTTTGTAATACGTCTCTTCGGTGTACATTTATTGACTTTAAGTCTATCAACAGCCAGCTTTATCTCTTGACTTCTACATTGCTTCCGGTCAGAGGAGACAAAAATCTTCTCCTTCTGAAGTGATGAGTAATAAATTCTGTATTTTAACCAACATGTCAGTCATCATTGGTGAGACGGCAGCATTTCTGACTCGTCTGATAACCTTTTCGGATCTCCATATTCAGACGTCTTTCGTGGAAAACGTTAATCTTCCACAAGTTACTGCCAGACACCGAGCTGATTTTAAAGCCAGATTAAGACATCCAGGAGACCAAACTCCAAATAGACGCCAGCGTACTCTCTGCTGGATGTTATTATGTAAGATAGCCCAGGCTGAGGCGGGATAAAATTAGATGGTAATACTTGCTTACCTGTGAGTGTGACCAGGCAGATCAGAATCCCTAACAAGGTCTGCAGGCTCAGCCCCATGGACAGAGCCAGCGCCTCCACCCCTCCCGTGGGACAGTGGCCGGCCGGCTGACAGCTGCACACGGTGATGGTCAGAGTGCTGGTGCTGGAGAGGGCCGGAGAGCCGCTGTCCGCCACCACCACGGGCAGGACGTACTGGGTTCGATCCTTGCGTGTGAAAGTGCTCCTGCGTGCCACGATGCCGGCCGTGTTGTCTGAAAGCCAAGAAGTGAGAGATGCACTTTTCGGGATTCTTAAAAAAAACATGAGCGCTGCTGCTGCTGCTGCTGTCAATGTGTATTTTGGAGGGGAACTGAAAAATAACAGGCAAACTGACACACTTAATGTCATTTAAAATTGGATCCCAGCTCTCCTAAAGGCCCTTTTTTTTTGTTGTTTTTTGAGCGCGAGGAACTAAATTTGGAAAATTCCCCTTCAGTTTCTGCTCCACCTGTACGAGTTCATCAAGACGCTGAACAATAACTCCGCTGGAGTCACACAAGCCTCGTGGCATATGGAAATGTGTTTTATTAAATGTGTTTCTTCTTGATTCATTATTCATTTCCGAGGTGCTGACTGGACTGCAGTGCTTGCGTGGCTAACCACCCATACGCTGCACCTGCATACATTTCATTCTAACTTATTCAACACATTCAAACACGCTGCATGCTTTCTAACAACACTGTTTGTTCAATCTGTGCTGCCCATTCTTATTCTAAACTTGGTGCCCGCTGACTTCTAAGGCAAACATTTAACTTACTTTAAAGGCTGCAAAAACTACAACCTGGATTTATTCCTAAAAGAGTTACTAGCATGCAGTATTCATTTAAATTTAAATGTTTTTCAAATAAAACATCCTTCTACTTTGCCTTTTTCATACTGTTATAGCACTGTTCATACTGGATGTGGTTTGGTTTCCACCTATGGTTGATATACCATACACAACTATTCCTCTTCTCATTTTTTCCCCCCATAGCTTAACAGAAAATGTCTTTAATTTGCAGGGTGACGCTTCCTGTAGATGTAGAATGAAACATCCATCCATTATCTATACACCGCTTAATCCTCACTAGGGTCGCGGGGGGCTGGAGTCTATCCCAGCTGACTTAGGGCGAAGGCAGGGGATTCACATTCACACCTACAGACAATTTAGAATCACCAATTAACCTCAACATGTTTTTGGACCTTGTGGAAAGCCGGAGAACCCGGAGAGAACCCACGCTGCACGGGGAGAACATGCAAACTCCACGCAGAAAGATTCCGGTGCCCCCACCGGGACGCGAACCTGCTGCGAGGCAACAGTGCTACCAACTGCACCACCCTGCAGCCCCTAGAATTATACAGATTTACTTTATGTTAAGAGTTTCACTGCCACTGAGTCTTTCAGCAGCCAAACTGTGACCACAGACCACAGTGAAATCTGCATGATCGCTGTTGTAGGTTACTGACACGGTGCTGTTTCCAATTGAGAAATAAGATATGACTTCTAAGCTGCGGCTACACGGGAGGATCGATAACAACTCTCAGACGCACGTCTGTACGCAAAAATACGAAGCTACAGCCGGCAACCTGTTAGGTAAGTCGAGCAAAGGCTGGAAACGGGAGGAGACAGCAAATCGGGTTCTGTTAAGAAATAAAGAAATATGACTGCAGCACCTCTAAAGTTCACAAAGTTGTGCAGCTTTATTGTCGAAGTGAAGCTGGCACCTAACAAACCCAAATGCATAACATTGTGTAACGGCTGTAAAATTGTTGTTTTGTCCTATTCTTTTCTACTGCCCAGCATCCATGACTTGCAAGTTTCTTTACAGCATTTTTTTTGTGTGAAAATAATACATGATGGGCCGCGGACCAGTGTAGCTATTACACATTTTTTGGTGTGAGGCTGGGCTGCGACAGCACAGTCCTCAGGGGGCCGCAGCACCCAACCAAGAAAAAGGCAGAGCTCATAATGTGCAAAAACACATTTTGTCATATTTACTCCTCAATTTCTGTACAGATTAAACAAATTTGATACAATATGTTAATGACAGCGCTCTGGGGGTTCTAATAGGCTGATTTTATTACTATCAGACGGAGCCAGGCGAGCTGCTTCTCCCTGTTTTTAGTCTTTATTCTCGCCTAACTGGCTGCTAGCTGTAGCTCCATATTGTATGAGAGGGGTATCAATATTCTGATGTAATTCTCAGCAAAAAAAAGCAAATGTATTTCTTTAAACAGAAAAAAAAAAGCTTTTGAGTGTATATGTAGCGCACTATTTCAACTCTAAGAGTGAACAGGATGGAGCTAGTAAATATAGAGCTGTTATAAGATATACAGTGCCTATAAAAAAAATGTTCACCCCCCTTGAAAGTTTTTCCTTTTTATTGCTTCTCAACCTTGAATCATGGTCAGTTTAATTTGGCTTTTTTTTGACAAGATTTATGAAAAATGAATGTTTAATGTCAAAGTGAAACCAGATTTCTACAAAGTAATGTCAGTTAATTAAAGCGATTGCATAAAGTGTTCATCCTCTCAAAGTGACTCGTCTCATACAACACAACATAACTGGTGCTACAAGTCACACAACTAGTGAAATTGAAAACTTCTGATTGACGGGAATCTGTCTAGAGATAGTATAAATACACCTGTATATGGAAGAGCCAGTCGCTGGTGAGTTAGTACTCCTGGCTATAACTGCGCCATAAAGACCAAAAAAACATGAAGCAACTCACTGAAAAGGTTATTGAAACGCATCAGTCAGAGGATTCAAGAAAATTTCTAATTCACTGAATATCCTTGGAGCACAGTTAAATTCATTATTGAAAAATCGAGGGTATATGCCACATTGGTAAATCTGCAAAGAGCAGGCCGTCCTCAAAAACTGTATAACCATGCATGAAAAAGACTAGTGAGGGAGGCCACCAAGACACCAATGACTCTGAAGGAGTTACAAGCTTCAGTGACTGAGACTGGAGAGACAACAACTGTTGGCTGGGTTCTTCACCAGCCAAAGATCTATTGTAAAGTGGAAAAGAGAGAGGCACTGTTGACCAAAGTTCACATTAAAACTCAACTAGAGCTCACCAGAAGGTATCTGGGAGACTCTGAAGTCAACTGGAAGAATGTTCTTTGTTCTAATGAGACCAAAACACAGCTTTTTTTTTAAATTATTTTTTTGGCCTTTGTTGGATAGTGTTAGTGAGAGAGAGACAGGAAAGTAGGGGAGGACATGTGGGAAAGGGTCATGAGCGGGATTCAAACTCATGACCTCCACATTGGGACTGTAGCCCTGCACATGGGACGCCAGCTCAACCAGGTGAGCTATAGCGGCGTCCCGCAAAATGCAGCTTGTTGACCATCCGACTAGACGCTCTACGTGGCGGACACCAAACACTGCACATCATCACAACACACCATCCCATGTGTGAAGCATGGTGGTGGCAGCATCATGATGTGGGGATACTTTTTAACAGCAGGCCCTGGAAGGCTTGTAAAGGCAGAGAGTAAAATGAGTGCAGCAAAGTATAAGGAAATCCTGGAAGACAACCAATCTGCAGGAAAACTGCAACTTAAATTTGTTTTCCAGCAAGTCAATGACCAGAGGTATACAACTAAAGATGCACATAAATGGCTTAAAGGTAATAAAGTAAAAGTTCCGGAGTCAGAGCCGAGACTTCAGCATGGTTGAGAATTTGTGGCTGGATTTAAAAAGGGTTATTTCACTCACGATCCCAGCGCAACCTGACAGAGCTCGAGTAGTTTTGCAAAGGAGAATGGGGTAAAATTGTAATGTCTACATGTGCAAGGCTGATTGAGACCCATCCACACGTTTTCAATGGTGTCATTTTGGAAGGAAGGTGCATCTGCTAAATACTGACCTGAAGAGGGGGAATACTTATACAATCATTTTTTTTTTTTCTGTACATTTTTGTGATAAAAGCCAAATTGCACTAAGCCATGATTTAATGTTGAAAAGCAATAAAAGCGGAAAACTTCCAAGGGGGGTGTATATTTTTTATAGGCACTGTATTTGTATGCCTGATTGTCTCATTTAATATAACCTTGATTATCTCTGATAGTGAAGTTTGGATTGATGTGCTTCTCGGGGACCATGGAGAAGTAGAAGTGGTGTCCCTCCACAGGGTCGTCTGGATCAACAGCACTGAGCAGCTGAATGAGCTGAGAGACACAAAGACACATCACTGGAACATTGTGATTGTACACAGGAATATTTGAAAACAGACTTTCCAGGAATTCTTCATAATCGTATGAAGGCTTTGCATTGCATTACTCGGAAACATAACGCTCAGAATCTCATTTAGAAGCTGACAATGCTATGAATGCAGTACGGTATAGTGCTTTACAACAATCAAATGGTTCCTTTTGAGTCTTTTGTTGTTTAAAAGGATGAAAGGAACATTGGAAATATTGTGGGGGAAATATAAAAGGACATAATTTGAAAACATTTACTGTCCACGTTCATGTAAACTCTGATTTCCACACCGCTGTACACAGGAGTAAATCACGAAAATCAGTGCATCATGATATACATACTTCTCCCGCCTGCGTCCCCTCACAGATATATGGCTGGTAATCTCTTGCAAGCCTTGGCACATTGTCGTTTATGTCCAGCACTTTGATGAACACCACCACAGAGGAGGATAAATGGTTCTGCGCTGCAGTAGTGAAGATAGACATTTGCTGGAGTCCACTGGGTGCATGTATCATAAATGCTTTGTAAAAGCTCTGTCAAAATAACACTTAAGACTGATAAATGTTTCACTTTCTTGCATCACGACTGTGGAGCCAAAAAATGGGCATCAGCGTCACACTGCTTTTGCCAAAACAAGATAATTGACTGAAGACTAAAAAACAGTAAAAAATCTTCTATGGGAATTTAATGGTTTGCATCATTCTAGACCAGTGGTTCCCAACTCTTTTTGTCAGACGTACACCCATAGGCCTGTTTCTATGACCGTGACATTATGGGCCAATCCTTAGAACGGTCGCAAACAGCAAACTACGAGCTAGTCCAACATGTCCCTGGGGGTCGCTTCAGTGTATTAAGGCTTGATTTAACATAAAGTGACTGCTAATCCTTCCAAATTTTTAGATTTCTGGGATACAGTTGTGATTAACCTTTGGCAATGTTGACGCAACTCTGCAGCAAGGTCATGTTTTCATATGCATCTTCGGTTTAGACAAAGTTGCTGCAAAATCCTTCAAGTTATTTAGATAGTTTGAAGCTAGAAGTCCAAAAGTTTGCTCCAAATCTAATTTGCACATGGAAATATGTGGCTACAATTCAACTACAGCAGTCTACTAGAAACCCTGGAAACCCATACATAATGCTTATAAAACGTAATTTAGGGAATCTGTTGCTATCACTTCATTAAATGCATGACAAGATTAAAAAAAAGGTGATGTACTTATTTGGATTAACCTTTTAAGTTGCAAATACTATTTTGATGAATTGTGTTGATGCAATAGCACAAATTGTCTTTATTTTAAACTGTAGTTTCTGTCTTATTTGACTTAAAACTACATTTAAGCTGTAGTCAACAGATTAAATAGTCTTGATGGGTTTATTTTTCTCATGGTTGAGTTCAGAAGGGACTTAACAACTGTTCATGCTGCCAGTTGTTAAGTATTTTGTAATTTCAAATACCCTTGATTGTAGAGAAAAAGATAATTCCTCCAACTCAATATTATTTGTTGACTGAACATGATTGCATTAGAAGTTGTCATAACTCAAAAAGACTGATGTGAACTGTTAACATATTTTTGGTTTTGGTTTTCAGAGTGTACAATTATTTCCAAATATACTATATTTGAAGAAATAAATTGACATGTTTGCCACTAATGAAAAACTGACCAGAAAGTTCCTAGAAATGGACCACTACTGGCAAACTGTGGTGGCAAACTACTGGTGATCATGTTTGCCAGAAGAGGTAAATATATCTGTGTAGACTCTAAGCTATCCAGGTCTTGATAATCCTAAAAGCCTCAGTACAGAACAACTAGACTTCTGTTTTTGGTTCTTTAAGATTTTTCACTTTTCATCCAAGAGGCTTCTTCAGTTCTACCTGACTGATGTGGAGTCTCAGATATAGATCGTCACTCTTAACTCACACAGCTAATGGCCCATTAATGACTCGCATCAAGTCTCACATGCCTTGAGGTGTGAATGGTTGTGAAACTGCCAGGTAAGGGATGAGCCAAGGTGTTAATGGTGGTGCAACTTTGCGATTTCAAGACTGTTCTATAAGTACCTCCATCCATCCATTGTCTATACACCACTTAATCCTCACTTGGGTTGCGGGGGAGCTGGAGCCTATCCCAGCTGACTTAGGGTCTCCAGTCTATCACAGGGCTTATAGACAGACAACCAAGCACACTCACACCTACAGACAATTTAGAATCACCAATTAACCTCAACATGTTTTTGGAAATCTGAGAACCCGGAGAGCACCCACGCTGCACTGGGAGAACATGCAAACTCCATACAGAAAGATCCCAGTGTCCTCACCGGGATGCAAACTGGCGACCTTTTTGCTGCGAAGCACCTTGCGAGGTGGCTAACCAAGTCACCTTGCAGCCGAGTTTAAGTACTTGATAATTGGTATTATCAGGTACTTATGCAAGGTGGCTCAGTGGTACCTATGGAGGGACTGCTCCAGGTGAACATAGATGGCTTGATTCACTCCTCTCTCAAACCAATTCATCATCTCTGTTCAGAATGTGAACATTTCTGTCGGCAAAGAGTCTCTTATCATGTTCAGTCAGTTAGAACTGAAGAAGCATCTTGGATGAGACGTGAAATGTCTTCAAGAACCAAAAAGAGAAGTCCTGTTGCCTTCTGCTGAAGCTCAAATGGTCAGTCGTGGCAAACTTCTTGTATTATAATTGCAAACTTGGGTTGATTTGTGTCGTAGACGAAGACTTGGTTGCAGATCAATCACAAATTTGTTGCAACTCACTACATTCTCAAAGTAATTGACCGACACTGTCCACTAGTACAAATGCAAATTTACCCAAATAGACATAAGCACTGACTGTTCAACTGTCTGAAAGGTCAACAATATTCATTTTTGTTTTGTTAAAGTAAAACAACATCCAGTTTAAAGCCAGTTAACACTTTAGGGACTATTTGAACTGTACCTTCCTCTACTTTCAGTGAAATATATGAATAGTTTATTTAATACTTTTAATCTGATATTGCAACCATTTATCTAACTTTAAGATATTCCAACTGTTTCGCATTAAATTTTCTTTCTTTCTGTTTATCCATTAGTATTTCCTAACAGGTTGCATGCCAGCTAGCTTCATGCATTCTTAATTGCAACCCACACTGTGTTCATGTCTTACAGCTCACTCCATATGTGGATTAATATTTTTTCAAATTAGTTGAGCTACTCCAATCTCTTCACATACCACCGGGTAACCGCACAAGTAATGGGGGGTGCTGGTAATACTCTGAAGTTCTTTGTTCGTTTCACACGATTAGGATGAATCAAATGTGGAATGGGGGTTTGAAGGTTTCAGACTTCACAAATGGATAGTTGTCTCTCAGTTTGGTTTTTGGATGTTCAAATTTGGGATTGTGCATTATATAGTCCATCTATGTTGTCTTACTTTCACTCATTCATTCATAGCCATTCATATAGAATAGAAATAGAATAGAATAGAACTTTATTGATCCCTTTGGTGGAAACCTCAGGGAAATTGTTGTATATATTTATCAATTCATTTCTTACTTACTTTTTGCTATTGAGGTTTACATATCCACACTCTCCTTGGTTGGTTGCAGTGGTTTTGTGGGGGAGGCACATCTAATAAAGCTATTTCAAGGTTGCTATTCTATGTTTAATCTGAACAACAGCAACACTTTGACCTGTGGCTCCAGTCTATGGTTAATGCCCACATGTGTCTCCAAACCCTGCAAAAATGGCGAACCAGATAAATGACTGTATGGTCAGATGTGCCATATAATACATATTATGGCCTGGCTGTGGGCTACTCCATTGGGTGTTAATGGTACAGTCCAACCAGATGTCCAAAACAAAGAGACAAACAAAATTTAATTGTGAAGCAACGACCCAACAGGATGGATGTTTAGAAATGAAATCAGAAATTGTTGGAAAAGTTTCCAACTCCTCTTTCATTTGATTGACTTTGAAGATGCGATCTAAAGAAAGAACTGCAAACTGTTACATGGACCAATGGGGCAACCCTTTGTTGGGAATCACTGGTCTGGAAGAAGATTTGTTTCTAGAACATATTCTGAACAGGTTTCCCACCTGGGTGGGGACAAATGTTCAGCAGTTCACCATATAAACTAGATGCTCTTATGCAAATTTAGGAAATTCTCCTTACATGTTTCCTTGGCTTCAACAGTCACATTGTGCCAGTTTGAAGTCTCTCGGTCCAAAGCTTTAGCGACAGTTATAGTCCCATTGTTTGGGTCTATTTTGAAAGCTTTTGTGGCATCGCTCCTTTTGTCAATTGAATATCTGGAAGAGAAATCACGGAGACAGACATTTAGCAGGCAAGGTTGTTTTCTGGGCAAACAAAGCATTGCGATACCACGGGGAGATTAATTAGGCAAACTGCTCAATTTTTTAATCTGTTGACAGATATCCAACAAAGCGACTAGACACACACAAGCTTGTGCGACAGCAACACTGTGAAGACAAAGCGCCGGGCGCAGACGGCACAGACGCAGCTTCGTGTACGTTTTCAGTTAGCGTCACTGAATATCATTTTTATTCTGACCACAGATGTTTCCTGTTCGTCGTAAGTGAGAATGAACAGGTAGGCTCGGAAACTCGCAGAGGAAGAGAGAAACTTTCTTGGCGTTTGAATAATAGACTGTCCGAGCAGTGTTACTTTTTCTGACTGGCTTTCTGATAGCGGCTGACAAGTGAGTCTCGGAAACTTTTTAATGTGAAAATAATCTTTAAAAAAAAAACAAATTTATCAGACACAAACCAACTGAGCTGAAAAGAAATACGTAGTCTCTATGGCATTGTTCTCCAACGTCATCATGCCTTTAACACTTATTAATGTAAGTGATTGGGCTCTAACATGACAGTGAATTAGGGTAACAGAGTAATGAATCATTTCTGCGCACTCCTCTGATGATAACAACATGGGAAATAAGCCAATTTGACCACAGCAAACTTAATCATATTTACTAGAACTGTAGAAACCCCTAAAATGTCAGGCTGAATTTATTAATCAATGAGACACTGTCACCAAAGGGACAGTAATAGACGCTAGGCTGAGGATGATATGCAGCACCTGCCACTCTTAAGCTCTGCCGAGATGGACTACAGGCACCAGTAGTGCTCCTGTCTCCTCTGCAACGTGCCCCACTTGCAAATGACTGCAAATCTCAATTCCATATGCCACCTCGTATGGTGCTTTATTACATTCCCACGTCCTAGCCACGTCGCTTTGTGATAATACCACGGCAATAGATAGAAAAGCCTGTGAGGTATAAAAAAAAAAATTGTCATGATTTATTCAGCAGGGCTCATTTCCTACTAAAGTAATATGAGATAAATATGACCATGTACAGGGTATCCAGAGATCAAGGGTAAAAATGGATGCACCGAGCCAGTAACGCTATTTGAAATGGAATGATTTTTCACCCTGTGGAGGAAGCTGTCTGAGGATGTTCCGCCCACGCCTGCTTGGGTATCTGCCTCGTCATTATCATACTGGTAGTTGGATGGCAGATGCCATTCTTCCTGGTTTAGACAGTTCACATTACCTGATGGGATTGTTGACTGTGTCAGTGTCTCTGGCGCTAACGCTGCCAACCTCGCTTCCCACCGCCGCATTCTCAGGAACTTTCCACTCGTAGGCCGGCGACAGGAAGACGGGCGGCTCGTCCACGTCCTCCACGACGATCTTGAGCGTTGTCCTGTCGCTGAACTCATCCAGATTCAGGAAGCGAGTGTCCACGTGGTCGTTGACCGCCTCTGCAGCCATGACGAAACGTCTCTTGGATTCGTAGTCCAACGGCTGCGAGGGAGGGAAGTATTTTTAACGGTTTATATAAATACAGAGACTGTAACGAGCGGGGAACAATTTATCATCATTAAACGGGCTTAAAGAGTAACTGCTTTTCAAATCAGCTTTGCCAACTTGTGCTTGAGACCGATGATTACCCCGCTGAGATCAGGACATGACTAGATGTTAAAATTGTTTAGTCAATGTCAATAAGCTACCAGCTGTGAGCACGTACTTAAATAATGTTCTGTTTTTGATTAACATTATGAAGCCTGGTAATAAGAAAACAGCATGCAAACCATTACCATGTTCCCAAAATGATTCACAGTCAATAATGTTTCTGTTTTTTTCCCATTATTTTATCATCACAGCGGCTAAATTGAAATCTCCTGGTCTTTAAAGGAGAAGCATACGGCTTACATGAGTGGAGAAAAAAAGAATAACCGGTTTCATGAGAAGTCTTAGCATCTAGCTACATTTTATATGTCAATACTTTTAACCAATAAGACTGTTTAATACTTTAGAAATAACTGGGTGCCACTCTTGAACATATGTTTAACCCTCTGAGCTCCAAAACCTGCTACCATGTTGGAAAGCCTTGTTGTCTTTTTTTTTTAAGAAATTGCCCAAATTACACTTTTTATGAGAAACTATCAGGAGATTTTCCAATGGTCCTTGAACTACTCATGTGTGACACCACAAAACTTCACCAAATCTGCGCTTCAAATTGGAACATTTCATGAAAATCACTTCAGCTTTATTTATTAATTTGCCAAAAATAAATAGATTCTGTAAAAAACAAACAAAAACCAATACGCAACTGAGAAGTTTTTAGCAATTTAGCTGTGGTCGACAGTCACATGACACAAATTCTGGGCTTTCCGGGTTAAGTGGGCTGAACTGCAGGCCGTGCAGAGCAGACAGGAGACGCATCAAATCAAAGTTATAAAGCAAGAATAATCAAAGAAATTCAACCTTTGTTTCCACTTCTTTTTCAATGATTTATGGCATATAAGGTTGATATACTGCACAAAAGACTTTTGTTTTCTCTCTGCTTCTAGCCACGGTTGTGCTGTTTCCATAGAGACACAGGACCCTATATTGCAGTGAAAAATTAGTGAGGAAAAATGTGACAGAACTACCCGGGTGTATGTTCACTCGCTCGGAGCTCAGAGGGCTTCCGGGAAACATGTTGTAATTTAAATGGAAGAAATGTGGCTGTTTTTTTCTGCTCACCACTTGTTGATAATTGTGTCTGAATGAGCCCGTGATCCTCTTATGTTGCTCAGCTTACAGCGCTGCACTCATGGAATGACTAAAAAGGTGCATTGAACGTATGTTGCGCTGACAGAAGAGAGTCAAGTGAGCGTCGTGTGCGACTCCATTTGTTCTGCCTCAACTGGCAACCTGGCGTCGCTTCATTAGTTCCACATTTGGGCATTAGGCTTATTCACTTAATTTTCTGCGGCCTCGTCAAAAAAAAAAACACGAGTTTTTCTGGCAACCAGCGAGGATTCGAGGAGGTTACCGCGTTCAGCCAAGAAACGGTACGAAGCCCAGAGATGTACAGAGATCTCATTATCTTTATCTGCGTCGACGAAATGATCTGTCTGGATGAACAGATGTCGGGAATGCGTACAGTTTTGCATCACAGATGTTTAAACGTGCTTCATGCCTGTTTTTGGATAATGTTCGTCGGAGCAGTTGGACTGATTGCAAAGGGCTCCCAACCAAAAACTATTTCGGATGCCTTTGCAACCTTTGTCGTATGGTTGAAGGCTGGCAAACAGCTTTTTTAGAATTAGGTTTTATGGATGCATACAAAATCACCCCAATTCTTTCTGGTATGATCGATTCTTTCCAAGTAGAGTTATTCAGGTCATCTGGTGAATATTGCTGTCAGTGCCAGTTTTGTGCAGCCTTTGTTTGAACACCACTCATCTGAAACCTATGGCGGACACATACAACATGTTCAGAGGTTAGAATAGGACTGATGAGGAGGATGTCCAGTAACTTCTTCAGTAACAAGTTGTTATCAACTGTACACACTGTTGATATGGATTAGTCTAGATCAACATCTTCTGGAAGGATGTGTTACAGCCCCATTTCCTGTCAGGTTTTAATGATGTACCACAAAATAAATTGGAATAATTTATTTTGAGAGTCAGATGGCTCAAATAAAATCTAAATAACCAAATTCCACATGTTTTAGTTTATACTTTCTGAGCCTTTTAGTAATTTAATTGAAACAATATGTTAAAAGCAGTTCATCTAAAGAACAATAATACAACACTCCTATAATATAGGCCTCTGCAGTGTCATTTACATTGACTTTATGGTTTACCAAATACAGGAATTTCACCAACACAGTTTTAAAAAACACTGGTTTTACACTCCCAATCTGCTCCCTGATCATTTTAGTAAAATATACTAAATGAAATAACAAGTCAGTAGGAGCAAGGTTCTATGCTGCATGAAAAAAAGCACTTTTTTTATCCAAAATAATCCAAATCAAAATGAAAAAACAGAATGGCTGCTGCCCAGACATGTCAGTCATTAAGCTTTTTTCCTGCTAAAAAAAATAATGAGTATTTTTTAGAAGAAATATCTGTTTCCGCAGCATTAGATGTGCTTTTCTGATTAACAAATGTTATCCAGCACATCATCCCTGATCAAACCTTCTCTGGAGTCAAACCAGATCTGCTTTACAGGTGCTGCTGCTGGGTGGATTTCTTTTGAATTTCTTTACCTTCAGAGCGAGACAGACAAGCCGTCCCCTCCTGTTTCCCCTCCTTTCTGCTAAGCTAAGCTAACTGACTGTTAGCTGCGGCTTTGTGTTTACTGGACGGACTTGACAGTGGTATCAATCTTCTCATCTAACTCTCAGCAAGGAAGCAATTACATCCCAAGAGGATCACAGGCTCTCATCACCCAGTGATATCGCTTTTATCATCTGTCGGATGGGTAAAACCTGGCAGTGGCACTGAAGCCTCCCCGCGCTTTTCCCCCTCCGAAACAGAACTGACTGAACCGTCGGATCACAGCGAAATCGTTTTTTTTTTTTTTTGTGCTGATGTGCGCTCATGAAAAGTGAGCTGTTTACATCCTCTGTCCCCGCAGCGTGGCCCAACTTCGTTAATTGGCATACACGGCGGGTGCAGATTTTTATGCTCCTTTATGTATGTTCAGCCGGCGACTGATCTGCGTGGTCACTTGGAGGCTGCGCCAGTTAATTTCTTCTTAATTAATCAAGTTAAATAATGAAGATTACAGCATGTGTTTTGGTGTCTGGTTGCTTCGGCTGCGTCTGCCAGCTATGTGTGCAGCTGTTTCAATTACACGGGGAGTGCCAGGCTATCCTCGACTTTTTTTTTTCCTTTTCCCAATTTGGTTTGCTTTTTTTTTTTTTTTTTTTTTAAACAATTTTTTATCTTTAACGTTAATTAAATCTAAAATAAAGGTTGGTAAAAGTTGCCTATAGTTTTTGCAAAAACTTTCCGAGCCTCACACACACGCGGGTGCTCCCAATTTAAATTAAATGATGAATATTTATACAAATAATTAAAACATTAGAGATAGATATTGTGTTTGTGGATTCACCTTGGCCAGCAGAACCACTCCCTCCTGTGTCGTCGGGTCCGTTTCGATGATAAACGTGGAGCTTTCTTCCAGGTCATCCTCCAGACTGTAGGTCATTTTAGCGTTGATGCCGACGTCTCCATCTTCCGCCATGATTCGACCCACCGTGGTGCCCACTTGGGCGTCTTCAGGCACCGCGAAGGTGTAGAGATCTGAGGAAACAAGGGAAAAAATGGTACTTGTGCATTAATGTAATCATTAAAAAAAAAAAAAGTTAAAAAAAAAAGTTTCCCCACTTAAACGCTGTACACACAACTTGACAGTAAGTTGTTAATAGCTAGTCAAGAGAGTGTGCTAGCGTGTAAAGTGATAAGAAGGGAGAACATTGTGGTGGAGGGTCAATTTGTGTGAGCTGCAGATAAATTGTGGCAACTCCACATAATCCCAGCCTAACTCTAATAAGAAGATGAGAAAATGTGATTGTGTCTTTGAGCGACTCCATTTGGACGGCTGCCACAACTGGGAGGAAACTCAACAGGCAACCAGCTGCTCGTGGAGGGAAGGAGGGAAAAAAAAAAAAAAAAAAAAAAAAAGCCCCGCTGATAATAATTTGTAATTATGTGACAAAACAGAGGGTACAGTTCAAAGTGAAGTGTGGCCATACAATATTTATAAGGCCTTTTGACTGAACGTTAGAATCCGTGGGATACAGTAGCACCTGCCGTGAATGTGAATGTGACATTAAGCATCATCCCTGCTCTCCCATTCCGGCGGAATTGATTTCTTCCCGCGGCATTCATTTAGTGAGGTTTATCGCTGAGAAAGCTAGGTTTGTTTCCAAAGGTCATGACAAATGTCCTTTCATGTGTGAATGATTAAATTCACCCAGTGTCTGGCACATGTACACGTGCACAAGCGGGATGAGCGCCTGCATCCTCGTCTCTTTCCTCCCTCCTCCCGCTGTCTCCCCTTTTAATTTTAAAGCTGCCGGCCGAATAACACGACGCGAAAAAACGCGGCGCTGGCAGCAACAAACCACCCACCAGAACCGCGCCAGTGTGATCAAATAAATACCTCGTAGGTATAATATTAAACACGTCCTCGCAGTCTGCAACGCTTTGTACTTTCCCCCCATTGATTCCCTGAGCGCGTTATGGCCCAGCGTTTGCATCACCGCCAGTCATGAGGAAGTGACTCACGGTGCTGGAATGTGGGCCCGTTGTCGTTCACATCAGTCAGGCTGACGGTAACCGTGGTGGACGAGGAGTAACCGCCGCTCAGGCCCAGCATGTCCTTCACCTGCACCACCACCAGGTACTGCTCCCTGGCTTCGCGGTCCATGTTCGGCCAAGACGTCACCACGATGCCTGCGGGCGGGAGGAGGACAGGAAACGAGGAGGTTCGTTAGGACAGCATCAAGTGCATCTGTGGGTGGTTTTCTCTCTCTCTCTTTTTTTTTTCTTCCCTTTGACCAAGTAAACAAACTTCGCCTCAAGTAGTCTCCGAGACCGCCGTGCACTTTGTGATGCTGCACCGCAGTAAATGTCAAGTCTTCAAATTTAATCAGCACGAGGAGAAATATTAAGAGGGCTTTCACATGACTTAATGCTTCCTCTGTCTGGCCAAATTGGAGTCTGTGGGCAACAATGAACAAGAAGAACAATTTAAATCAAACGAATTGCATCGACCCGGCGAATCCGGATGCTATTTTTTTTGCCTTTAAGCTCATCATCTCGGCCACTCGTCTGATTTTGCATTGCATTTCCTGACCAACCGGCTTCTTTCAAATACAAATGACAGAAAGTGTCTAGGTGACTATTTCTGCTCCGTGTCAGACATCTGCTCACGTAGAAGTGCCAACAGAAATGTGTTTCCTCCCAGATAATCCTGTTCTTTCTTTATCTTTACAATGAGACACAAGATAGCGAGAAAAAATATGAGAATATATCCAGACTTCCTCCCTGCAGGTCACCTTAACCCACCAGAAAAACTATGGAAACTGACAATTGGCTCCCTAAAAACTAAAAAAAAAAAGTCAGATTTGGCCTTTTACATGTTGCATTCATTTGCATTTAAATGTTTTTCAACCTAAATGATGCCCACACCCAACTCTTCACAGTTCAGGTCAACAATGTGTGTGGGAAGCGCTGCGGCCGACCTCTGCATCGCACACGAAAAATACTGTAAGTGTACATTCACAGGCGCTAGTTGAATCAATTTCCTGTCACGGTGTTAACTTTTCCCACTGGCCAAAAAAAAAAAAAAAAGTAGCAAAATCCGTCAATAGTTGTTTAGATGGAGTTGCCAGGGGAAATTATGCTGTTTTCAAAGTGCGAAGAGCTCTCGGACTTGTCAAAAGTGATTAGGACCAGAGGGACGACACCCAAAGATAGTTTTCAGTCTCGACAAGATGAAATTGGATAAAAAATAAAAAAAAAAAAAAACCACCCCTTCTGGTGTTAAAAAAAAAAAACACCTACTCGTAATAAATTTCTTAAATCCAATTGCCTTTCATTGATTAAGACCAAAAGGACAGTTCAAGATGGATTCCTCTCATAGACTGTATAAAAGATGGACGTAGCT